AATAAATATAATTTAATTAAAAAGACTATGAAAAAGTGTAAATTGACCCAAATCAGGTTGTTATCGAATAATTTAGGCTTAAATAAGAGTCATTCTTTTAATTTTAGTATAACTAAACAACTCTGGGTGTAAAATTGTGTTACTTTTTATAAGTTCAAATTTGCCGCTAAATTATACAACCAAAATAACAGATGATGGAAGGCAAGGGGACGTAACAACGGATACATGGATATATTTTTTTAAGCTAAAGGTACATTTATTAATCTTGGAATTTTTCATGAAGCAAAAGTACTGGAAATTATGAGATTGCATGAATACAGATGAATCAGCTGGTTGTCCTGGGAGGGGATTGCCCGCATGGCAAACCATAATTATACAGAAATAATTAGCTTATATTATTTTAGAAAATGAGAGGATGAAACACAAAATTTAATTATTTATTGTTACATGTAATACTGCTTTTGTAAATGTTACATGCATCAAAATATAAAAAAAAATATGTTGTCAGATAAGAAAGTTTATGATATAGTCTTTTATAGTCCCTATATAATCTATACAAACGTAAACAGTTCATAACACTACATATTCACCGGATTTTAGGCCGTATTCACCGGAGGGTCAGTGCGCGTGCAACGACATTGTGACATCACTATCAAAACATCGAACAACGTTGTAAACAATGGTTGCAACGGCCGCAGCGAGCTACGTATCTGAGCAGGAAAACAATTATTCAAACCTATTTCAGGATTATTTTTTAACACCTAGACGTCAGAGGTGTATACGCTGAACCACAACCCTAAATAATCATATTAATTAATAAAATACTTTTAATAAAACTCTTTGACATGTGCATGCATTGGTGATATAAAAATCATCGGAGTGAAAATTATTTAGAATCATGTTTTCCTTCTCAATCTTTACTTTTTTTTAACTACTTATACTTTGCCAAGAATTCAGTAACTTTGTACGTAGACTTGTCTAACCAACATTGCCAAACACACATATGTACATAAAACTCTTAGAATACAAAACAATTTATATGTTTAATCATTAACATTGTTGTTTTTTTTTTCAAATTTCTTATACATCACTTAAAAATGTTTAACAAATTAAATCGGCAACTTCCTTCCCCTCACATCTGTACCGTTTACACACTTTGTTGTCTCTACACACGTTTTACCATCATCGTAGTAGCTAATATAGTTAGCCCAGTTACAATCGGCGGAAACCATGCAGAGAACCAGGGGGACCCTGAACCCCAGTGCCCGTTCAAGAACGCGTTATGGCAATTGCTAAACCACCACCCTCCTTTATTAACAACTGCACAGTTACGACTCGGATTATTATCGTTGTCTCTATCAGAAGTAGTAAAGTACATCCCAGATAGGTCTGTATCAGTATCATTTGTATCTAACATATTCTGTCACCTATCAAAATAAAGAAAAAATGATTTTATTTCATAACAGTCCTTTTTACCCCAATATAGTTTACGAAAGTATTTACAAGAGTAAAGAAGGAAGAACAACCACCCGTTTTCAACCATTCTATATCATGTATGTAAATGATCTCTCGGAATTCAAATGGTTACAAATAGTTCCCCGTTATCAACATACCCATTTTTTTTTACATGAATCAGACTTTATACAAAATCTTTTTACATGAATCAGACTTTATACAAAATCTTAACACATGAAGAAGAAATGCTTGCTTATCCAACAAGACATTTATATTGATTAGTGACGTATTATTAATTTAGGGACCTCAATCCATATTCCTATTTGATATATCCAAGTAACATTGAAAATGAAAACACCACAGAGACTATGGCATCTATTACATGACTTAAAAAGACATATATTGTAAATTTGACACTGCACTTAGATATAGAAATTACAATTATAATTCAATATAGATTCTTAATCACATATTTAGAAGATATGGGATGACACCATGGCTATTCATAGAATTAAATGTTATCTTATCGTTGTTTACTTGCGTTTTTCATTTCCGAGATTAAAGAGTGAAGATGTATCCCGAACGCAAATATCGTCATTTACAAAAACAATCGCTGATAGGTCGACCTGGGTGCACTGAAATCCAATCAGAACTCTGGAAAAAATCCCAATTTCTATGAACTCCGTAGGCCAAGGGTTTATGAGGAGAGTAGCGTATCAGAAACCCTTGGCTAGCAAAGATGCCCCAGGTTAATAAGCGCAGGTTTTCAGGTATTTTCGTCAAAGATCACAAAAGCTGCAAATTTTTGCTCATAGGTAGCGCCTGATCGAGGTTTCCGGTTGCTCTTGAAATTTCGTAATCTTGTTGGATACATGCCATAAAGCGGCCAGTGAACACACTATAACCGCTTAAAAATACGGTTAAAGGGGTGTAGTAGTACATGTATATGGTTAATGTTTTGCATATCTGTTAAAAATGATAGAAGGTTCTATGGGACTGAAAAAAACTGCCTTATTATAATAAAATGATGAAAGAAACAGCGAGCTTAATACTTAATCTTTTATTGAATATGAATCATGCATAATGTTCGTTCTATCCAATATGTTTCATTGTTTACATAAACACTTTACTTTTCATTTTCCTCGAAAAAACATTTTGTCAATAGATAAAACGTCATGGGTTAATTATTCTTTAGTTCGATGATACCAAAACCAATCTTCTTAATATTTTTGTATTTTCATTAAACCAACTGTTCTGAATAAAAAGGGGGACCCTTTTCAGACTTAAGAAAATAACATAGCTATAAACCTGCAAATACGCATTAAAAAATCAAACTTGAATAATCTTCTGCTTCAATAAGACATTTTAATATATTTTTAGAGTATTCAAGTGGAAGGCGTATTTAAATGAAGATTTTCAGGCAACTTTTGACTACGCCCCCCTTCTGGTAATTGTTTTTCATGCTATGTATTTGGAAAACACTGAATAAAGGGATTGATTGATTGTTTACTGTTTAACGTCTCTCTCCAGAATATTTCACTGATATGGAGACATCACTCGGCACTTACGGCCTTGAGAAGGGAGGGATCTTTATCGTGCCACACCTGCTGTAACACGGGGCCTCGGTTTATACGGTCTCATCCGAAGGACCACCTTATTTAGTCGCATTTTACGACAAGCAAGGGGGTACTGAGGATCGACCTTTTCTAACCAGGATCCCCTCGGGGCTCGATAAAGGGCAAGAGAACAAACATCTACATTTTCAGAATGCATGTTCCTCTTTGCTCAAAAAGCTTTTAAAAACGGTAATTTAAATTTTGTAAAAAGTTTTTTGATCACTTGTTCATTGTTTATTGGGAGAACTATAGGAATTAGCCTAGAACTACTCATATCTTTTTAACCTAACATTCCTTTGGAGTAATGTAAACTTATGCAAGCGATACCACCGCTTTTGACTTCAAATATTTTAAAAACTTTGCTCCAAAGCGATGCTCGACATTATTTACAGAAATTTCCTGAACTGAGCAGTTACACATGAATGTAAACATTCAAATAACTAGGTCATTTTATATCACAACATAGTAATACGGCGGTCCATTTGTGAAATAAATGCAGTTTTACTCGAAATCTGTTTGTCTCAAATGTAAATATTAGTAATTAATAACAATGTTACGGAGTTCATGAGGAAATGAACTTTACATTTGTACGTAATTAAATCTACTGAGAAACCCTTCGGGCTTCACAGGATTTGATCACCTAAACAACAACAAATTCCTTTCCCAGAGAACTTTTTAACACTGTTGTTTATTTCTTAAAAGAAGAAAAAAACATAATGCGTATGTTGCTCATTGTACAGATAAAATAATTGTTGCGCTTTGATATTTAATATGATATACATATAATATTAAAATAATGAATTTAAGGTATACTCTTTCGTGACTTACTTTCTATTTAGTTTGATGGGCTTGAATTTAAAATACTGTAGAAGTACTACTTTCCGCAAGGTATTAATTTACGCTATGCACGAGGTCACAAATTTTCCAAGGAAATTTGTCCAAGGTACTTAATATAAATCATGTGATAAATGTAAGGCATAACTTTAGTGAGAGTTTAGGAAATCCGCGTATAACTTTTTACATGCGCAACAGAAATTGAGATTCCGAGCAATTATGACCCCGTGGGAAAAGAGTACGTCTACGGTAATATAATGAGTGATAGAAGTAAAGGAATATATTGTACTTAAAGAATTCACAATCAAGTCAATTATCCATATTTTTTTTGATAAGTAATACAACAGAATCCTATAATTGCTCGTCATTTTGTAGCCAATATGTTTATTTTATCCACCTTTCAACCGTTTATAGTTGTCTCTACGGGCAAAAAAGTCGCTAGAAGTGAAATTTCAGCAATATAACAAATAATTTTAATCAAGCGAGCTTATCACTTGCAGAGACATAAAGGGTTGGGAGGTGTATAAAATATACATATTGACTACAGAATGTGTCTAGAATCAGGGAGTGAAAAGGTAGTTGATTGACCAATGCTTGAAAGTGGAGAAATTCTCCCCAAAAGTGCGCAAAAAAATATTGCGCCGTAAATTGCACCTTTTTTGCATTACAGGATCTGTAGCGTTAACATGGTTATGGTCAAGACAAATATATAAAACCATAACGATCTGCAGCTAGTCATTTTGACGCTTAAATTGGACGTCAAGTAGAACGTTCAAATGAATTCGCAATAGTTATCCTCACCCAGTGTGTTGTATGTCTTTTAAACACAATTTAAACAAGGAGGTCATATTGAATGTATCATAGTGCAAAAAAAGAAATATGTTGACCAACATACTTTCTGTGTAGATATCAATGGTATAATTGTCAAAAAATCTATAGAATTTTATAACTGAAAAAAGCATGTTAGAAAAATAAAGAAAAAAACTTACATTAGCACAAGTACAATGAAAAGTATATAGTATTTTCTCTCTTACACTCTATGTCCTAGGTTATTTTCATGTACTGAGTATAACTTTTAATTTTAAAATTACTTACCTAATGTTCCTGTGGCCGGTCCTCCGAGATAGAGTCTGTATTTATCTGTTTCATCAGAAACAGAGAACCGACCATACAATTCATACGCAGTTCCTTTATCTTCTTGAGTTATGGATACATATAGAGATGAGTCATTTCCCTTTGTCAATTGATTGATAACGTCATTTCCTGTTATAAAGTATATTCTGAATCAGTGAGAAGTGTTGCAATTACAAAGCATATTTTCGTGTTTTACAGGAAATTGTTTATAGAATAGGGAAAAAAATCAAAAGTCATATCCACATATATATCGTTTGTGTGTGTGAAGATATCTCAGGTACCTGTTCTAAAAAGTAAACAGTTCTATCACATCACACAATAACCAAAATGATTTTACTTCACTTTTATTTATCTAAAATTTCTTAATAAAAATCCAACAACCAACATGAATTGAACTTTCTACTCAGAGACAATAACATGTATGATATGTCGACTTCCTAAAGTATTACCTTTTGATTATTAAATATATATGCGCATGCAACATTCACGTTTTCGGAAATGGATGCATTGGAGTTGATCAAAAACAAAAAATATATGCTTTTAATTTACCTATCCAGACATCTCCTGGTGGTGTTCCGAAACCGTTTTTATATTCTTCCCATGTTCTATCAAAGCTAAGGTTTTCATCTCGATTTCTTTTCTGGATAACCTTTAAAAGACGAGCTCTGTTGAATTTGTAAAAAAAAAATACACACACACAACTTACATGATAAACTACTGATGTGTTTCCTTTAAATTTATATAAAGAAAAGAAATATATTCAGGCACCTATGCATACGGATGATTTTAAAAAATATTTGTTATCTATTTATTATGACAGTCCAATCCTTTTACCCACAGTGTTTCTTGAAACATCATCTTCAAAGGTAATAAACTTTGAGATTGAATACGGTTCGTTCTCTGTTTATATCCTTATTAATATATTTTTGAATAAAACATTCAGTTTACTGTAAAACATAAATGTTTAAGAGGGTAAGATTGAAAATTTTCACATCTCGAAAACTTTTATCAATCGTCTTTACGCCGCAATTTTTATTGTGAAAACTACCCTCAAGTACATGACTTTGTACATTCAGTATTAGATATTGCATGTAGTGTGCCTCGGTTGACAATGGCTCTCGATTGTCAATATATACTAGTATATTGTTTATATTCAGAAGAAATGTCTAAAATTACAAGCAACAAATAAACTACTCACTGTCCAGCCCCCACCCTGTGTTTCCATGTCGCAGAGGGCGCTGACGGGTCTTAAAATGGTGCCATAAGGATAAATTGTGTACACGCCTGATTGATCCTTCCCCTTGTCGAGGAGATCCTTACAATCCACAGGAAGAAATACTAATTAAAAAAAAGATTGCAGGAATTAGGTTAGGGTTAGGGTTAGGGTTAGGGTTAGAAAAAAATCAAATCATGAAGACCTTCGAAGGGACTAGGTAGAGCCTGAGGGAAAAATACCATTATTTTTGCATTAAAATATCGCAATTTAAATCGAATATTTATATTATATGTTGTGGAATACAAAAAATTATCCAATGAGTCAGGGAACAGAATAGTGGGGTTAAGATAGGATAGATGCAATTATCTGATGTGTACACATTATTATCTTAGTTGTAAAACATTTTATATTACATAAATAGCCTCCGGTCTCTTAAATTAATATAAAACATAATAACTTAGTAGTTACCCAACCATAGGCCACATAAAAATTTTAATTTCAAACGCCACATTACACATAAGGCACACATTTTGATTTCTTTTTATCTGTTTATATGATTCTTCAATATTCGTGAATCTATAGATCTATTAACAAATATTTTCAAAGTGTAATTCTTTCCATGCAAGAATATATAATTGGTTATTGGTTTTATGTTACAGTCCCTGAAACGTTCTACTTTCCCATTTTTCCGTTCGCTCACCGTTCGTTTGAAACGTTCGCTCAGAGTGCGTTCACCGTTCGCACTCCGTTCACAGTATTGCGTTAACCATTCACCATGCGCTCGCGTTCACCGTTTACAAAACGTTTTCCGTTCGCTTTTCGTTCCGTTTACCTTGCGTTCACCGTTCACTTATCGTTCAATCTTCATTGTCATTCGGAACTTTTAAGTGAAAGGACTTATCTATTTGACGGTAAGGATTTACACGTTTTTAATTTAAAAAAAACTTAGATATCGTGTTTAAAGAATAATTATTTCATTGCAAAAATCATCTATGATAGATTACATAATTTGATTAAACATCAGGCATGGCCTATATAAGTCCTCTCCAAGGTCAAGGTTACAAATGTTAAGAATATTGACAATAATTTACAACAGTGGAATAATACTTATTAAGTTACATTATTTTCTTTTCTTAACTATATATGGGAAAGCAAAACACAAAAAATAGATTAAGTTATACAGAAGAATCATAACTAAGTTTGTATACTCGCTATGAAATATAATGATAAGGAAGTAAAAAAAGTACAAACAAACAGCAAACAGAATAAGTAAATAAATAATAAAGTGCAAAGGATAAATATGCTCAAAAAAAATACAAACTGAAGAAAGAGTAAAATTTACAAAAGACAAATAAATTTTAATCAAGCAACAACACTGAGTGAGGAAAAATAAAATAAAAAACAATAAAAAAAATAAATAAAATAAAATAAAAAAAATGCAAAGACAATTAACCAAAGGATAAATACAACATTTACATGGAACATGGAAATGCTGAGACGTAAATTAAATGTAATTATAAGAAATATCAGGATTTATATTTTACTTGATTAAGAGATACTACAGAATCTTTTTGAAGATTTGATGTACAGTTGGACTGCTTCAAAAATTGAACAGTTAATTTTATAAGGTAATTGCCTATCCCCAAATAGCAAAGTATTCAAAATTTGACCAGGAGACATGCTTTCTATTTCAATTACATTCTGAAGACTTTCAAAAAGTATCCTTCTCTGATTATTTTATGCAGGGCTTCTTAGACAAAATGATAGTTATTCTCGTTCGGATATCCGCACTTAGTACAAGATGCTATTCACTTAGATACTGATGATATAAATGAGCATTTAAATTACTAGATTCATTTCTTAGTTGACAATGTAATTTTTTTTTTTGCGACTGCCATAATTAAAAATCTTGACATCTTTTATTTTATCTACAGTAATTTTCTTGAGGACATTCTTAAAACTTGAATAAGATTCAATACATTTTATTTCTAGTGGTAAATTGTTCCACAATTGAATACTAGAAGGCAGAAAACTGTTGAAATTTGAGACTTTCTCTGCTTGAGGTATGACAAAATTAAAATTCTTACTATTTCTAAGATTGTAAGATTTGGTGGTATAAAAGGAAGGTCCATTTCGTGTAAATAGAGAGGGGTATACTCTAAACAGTTTTATAGAATAACAAGAGTTTTTGTCTTTCCCTTCTCTTATTTAATGGTTCCCAACCTAATTCTAATACAGAGCCTTTCTAGATGAGTTTTTCCTAAGTCCTGTTATCGGGCAGCTTCCACTTGAATATTTTCTAAAAGATTTGAAGGTTCTTGTGAGCAATTATCCCAAACAATGCCACCATATTCAAGAATGAGTCGGAAAAAAGCAAAATAGACTTTTACCAATGCACTTCTATCTAGTAGATATTTCAACATTCTTAAAAGATTTAGCCAAGAACAAGCTTTTCCATATAAATTTAGATGAGATAACCATTTGGCATCACTTTGGAAAAGAAGTCCAAGATGACAGTGTGTTCTAGATTCACTAATAATACTACCATTATCTATCATTATTACTCATCCGTTACTTTGTTCATGAAATTTCTCTGGAAAATAATGCATTAAGTACCTACATGTACATTGTATATAGAACGATGCTAAAATATTAAATTTTAAAAAGGATAGTGTACAAGTGCTTCACGCACGACAACACTTTGTTGTAAACAAATCATTAATGGATGTATAATAATTAATCCAATTCTTTTACAAGACAAGAATACACAAAAAAAATTTTCTACAGTAACAGGTATTTTAAATTACACGTAGATCTGGGGCCAGTTTCACAAAGCTATCATAAGATTTATCCTAAGACATGTCTTAAGATTGTCATAGGTTTTGACTTACGATTATCATAAGATTTGTCATTGCTGTTTCACAAAATTATCACAACTTGGACTTATCTTAAGATATTCTTATACGGCAATTTTTATATATAATGAAGACAATGTTTATACTTATTGATTAACAAACTTCGTTTGAATACAGTATAAAGGATTGTCATAACTATTAATTATGAAATATGTGTAACCATTGCTAAACATCTTTTATGTATTGATAAATTTTAAAAAATATATTTTTTAAAAGGGACCAAAAAACATTGATAACATTTAAGTTGAGTTCTGATATTTCATTAATACATAAAAATATTGATAATAAAAAGAACGATCAGCCATGATGAGTAGGTGTTACAAACGTATATTAATAATTGTTTCACCCATATCATTATATCAGAATATAGATCATCCATGCTACCGTAAAAACGAGTGTTCGATTGTATTCGCCGTGCTATAAAAACTGACCAACGAACATCTCGTGCAAGTACAACGTGTATCGGCTCTGGTATGCATGCACGAAATACAAATGGTGTCCGAATTTCTCTTCGTCAGAAATATCTATTTTAACGGAAGAAGTTGAAAAAAGGAAACAATTATTATTTTCTAAACAAAGTTCTGTCGTCTGTATTTCTATGAAAAGAAAGGCTTGGAAGCATATAGCACAAAAAAGAATGCTGTCAACTGTTCTAATTATTTATGTTCCGGAGAGGAAATTAAAAAAAAGTGGACTTGTATTTCGAGCGAGAAGAAATTGTCCCTTAATAAAAGAGAACAGAGAAAAACCGGTGGAGGATCAATCCCGTCTTGTGCCCAGATCACCCCCATGGACGAGAAGATTGAGGGCATCATTGGCCAAACATCGATTACAGGGGTGGAGGGGGGGGTGACTTGTTGGATAAATCAACAACATCAAACAGTGCAAAGTCAACAAATAAAACATCTTTTATAGAAAATACCGATAATGGTAAGTCACCGATAATTTAATTCATATATCAACGATATTTTCACTAAATATGTTAAAAATAATTGTATTATATTTACCAGTTTAGCCTACATTATCACCATACAACAAAATATAAACATTATGTAGTACAGTACATGTATTAATTATCTTTCGATTCAGATAAATACTACACAGTAAATACGGGATACATTGGCATCGAAATCTTATTTTAAGGGGGGGGGGGGTGATTGAAAGAGGAAAAGAATTAAAACCCTGAAAAATAAATATGGCACCCCCACCCAAAATAAGGGAAATCGTCCAAACTCCAAAATCCTTTTTTTGTGACTAGATAACAATTTAAGGCGTTCAAAATGTCATATTTAATGTTTTTAGTATATTAAAACGGACAGAGAGAGAGGGGGGTTGAGAGTTTAATTTTTGCTTTGAATTTTATCATTTTGCCTGAAACTAACAGTCTTTTCTTTTCATAGATGCACAAGCTGCTATGATGACGTCAGTTCCAGCAAAACTTAAAAGACGCTGCGACGCTGAATCTGAAGATTCTACCAGCAAACTTGTCACTGACACATTGAGCAGGAGAGACTACATTTAGAAGAGCGGCGTCTTCGTGTCGAATAAGATCGACTGGAAGTCGAACGTAAACGTCTGGAAGTTGAAGAAGAACGCTTAAGATTACAAAAACAAAAACACAACTTGTATTTATGTCAAATGGGAATTATTTTCAGTGTCAACTTAGCGTGCAACCGAAATCTGAGAAGCATTAATATTTATGTTCCCGTAATCAAAGATTCGGGAATATATCATTCTTGCCTGGTCTGTCTGTTTTTCAAAAAAAAATTAAACTTTTCCATAACTTCGAAAGTGTAGCATTCATATTTCATATGTGTAAACCTTCTGTTAACACGTACATGTCGGTACCAATTTGACCTCTGGACCGTCGCAGTTAAGCATATCTTGCTTTTAAGGTCACCTGAGTAAACTCAGGTGACCTATTGTTATCTGTTTTCGTCCGTGCGTTAACATTTGAACATTTTCAGTTTCTTCTCTGCAACCACTGTACCAATTTCAACCAAATTTGGCACAAAGTATCTATGGCTGAAGGGAAACAAAAATTGTGAATTTCATGATCCCTGCCCCCCCCCCCCCCCCCTCGGGCCTCAGGGGTGGGGCCAAAACCTCTAAAACTAGTGCAATCTTAAAAAATCTTCTTCTTTACTCCTGGACATCAAGCAGTCAAACTGTTTGCATGATTATGATCAGCAATGAGT